AGGAAGGAGGGGGGAAGGGTCAGTTTCTCCTTGTTTAAGATCCAAGGAGTTTGGATCTGTATTCACCAGGTAATTGGTGAGAGGTTTCTAAAAGCTTCCCAGGCTAGGGAATGGTGGCAGCGGGACCAGAGCTAAGCTGGTAGTTAAGCTTAGAAGTTTTCATGCAGGCCCCTACATTTGTACCCTAAAGTTCAAAGTGGGGATACAGCCTTGACAACCCCACTGTCTGGTCTGTGCCTAGGAGTGTCTCTCTTCTCCCCTGTGCCAGGCCTGTTTTGGGGGACAGCTGTGTCCCTGGCCAGCACAGTGCAGGGGACCGCGTGGGTGCGTCGGTGTTTGACCAAGTGTGAGGCCTGGCTGAAGCACTTGCCACACTCGGAGCAGGCGTAGGGGCGCTCACCCGTGTGGACGCGTCGGTGCTGAGCCAGAGTGGAGCGGTCACTGAAGCGCTTCGCGCAGACGCTGCACTCGTAGGGCCGCTCGCCCGTGTGGGTGCGTTGGTGGAGGACAAGATTTGAGTTGTGGTGGAAGCTCTTGCCGCACAAAGAGCAAACATAGGGTTTCTGGCCCAGGTGGATCTTACTGTGGGTCCGGAGGCTGGAACTCTGCGAGAAGGCGCGGCCGCACTCCCCGCACTGGTAGGGCCGCTCCCCAGTGTGCGTACGGTGGTGCACGATCAGATTGGACTGCAGCCGGAAGCTCTTCTCGCACACCGGGCAGTGGAAAGGCTTCTCTCCCGTGTGGATGCGCCGGTGCCGCTGCAGGTCCGAGCTCTGTCTGAAGCCCCGGCCACACTCAGGGCACTGGTTGCACCTCTTAGACTGGGGCAGGCTATTGCTAGTGGGGGAGCCTCCCATGATCAGGTTCTTGCAGCAGGAATTGACGGGCAACGACAGAGGGGGCTGCTGTGCCTGGCTGAGAGTGGGGTGTGGCTGTGTCCTGGGCAGGGCAGGAAGCAGCTGTTCCATGCACAGAGGAGAGAGTGGCTGTTCCTTGTGCATAGGAGGGGATGGATGTTCCCTTCCAGGAGTGGAGGGAGGCTGATCCCTGCGCAGGGGTGGGGGCGGCCGTTCCCGGCACACAGGAGGAACAGGCTGTTCTCTGCTCAGGGAAGGGGGCGCCTGTTCCCGGCACACAGGAGGGGATGGCTGTGCCCTGCTCAGGGGAGGGGGCGGCTGTTCCCGGCACACAGGAGGGGACGGCTGTGCCCTGCTCAGGGGAGGGGGCAGCTGTTCCCTGCTCAGGGGAGGGGGCGGCTGTTCCCTGCTCAGGGGAGGGGGTGGCTGTTCCCGGCACACAGGAGGGACAGGATGTTCCCTGTGCACAACAGGCGGTGGCTGTTTCCTGTGTACAGGAAGGAAAGGCTTTTGCATGCGCACAGAAGGAAGCGGCTGTTGCATGTACATGGGACAGGTGGGGAGCTGCTGTTTCCCACCCTCAGAGGGGGCTGCTGGCTCTTCTCCATCCAGAGAGGGTTTCTTTCTCTTCCGGCCAGGGCTCTGGGCCGCTTTCCTCTTGGGTCGACTTGGTGAGGCCTTGGGCGTTGGAGCTGCTTTGACAGGTGCCTCCGCCTCCCCGTGGTGCGGCACAGCCGGCTCCTCAGTGTCTGCGGGGACCAAGAGAGAAGTGGTGCGTGAGCCGGGCCCCAGGCGCAGGGGGACGCCAGCAGAGGGATCTAAACTAACAGTGGCGGGAAAGTGGAATTCAAAGTTCACAAAAAATATTCGAGTTTTTGGAAAAAAGTTTATCCTGAATTGGGACAAAAAAACAAAAACTGGAAATGTTCCCCACAACTTGAACCCCGCAATACTTGGTTTGGGACACACCGAGCTGCAGGAACGTGCGTGTGTGAAATGAAATGTGCTCCCTGGGATTCCCGGCTGTCCGTCCAGGCAGGTGCCGTGGAGTCAGGAGCGCCTGGGAGCCCCGGCTCTGGGGCAGCCACCAGGCCAGCTGCTGATGGCCCTGGGAGCTTGGGAGCCGGGTATCCCAGTGCTTC